TATCCACTCCACACCCCATAGCACCAAAGGAAGCGAGCAGTGGATGAGCCCGAGGTCACGTGATGTCACGATCCCTTGCTGGAAAGGTCCCTTTTCCAGACCCGAGCCAGGTTAGAGACTCAGAACCCACTGGCCAAAGGGCAGGCCCAGCAGAAGGAGGAAAGCTGGCCACACGGAGGTGCGTGTTGGGCTCTGACCCCTGCCCTTCCCTGACAGGATCTCTGTCCTTTGTCCAGGCACCTTCATGGGGAAGGGAGATACCCACACATGCTGAGTTCGAGGATGGTTTGGCACAGGGTTTGAGTCGAAAGGAATACCCCGGGGGCACGGGGTCATCTTGGCCTCCTCGCTCAGGTAATAAACAGAGTTCCGGGCTCACCGTGGTCACCTGTTGTCATTTACTGCGTTCTTGAGTGTATAAATAGTTGGAAACATATACACGCGGCTGGAAGAATCTGTACCTTGTTTCCGTGGAGGGAACAGCCAGTCAAAGCCTCTGGAAGGGACCTCCGCATCCGCCGAGAGAGTAAACCAAAGCCAATCTCCCGTCCTGGAGGAGGTGGCAGGGACGAGAGCCACTTTGAAGACTTAGAGGGTGTAGAGGGTGGTCCCCACCGTCGCCACCTGAGTCACCAGCCTGGTGCCTTTGTGACCTGGACGTGTCCTACGGGGTGACCGGGAGTGTCCACAAACACAACCAAGTAGAAGTCCGAACCGCAGCGTCCTTCCTAGATCCGCTGTCTTTGCCGAGCAGAGTAATGTGTCCCTCCAGCACGCGACACGCAGCTGTCGGTCTGGCAAATGCCCTTTCCACCCCCCCGAAACGGTCTGCATTCCTGCGGGAGGAACAGCCGTGTTAACTCTCTTGTCCTCTGTCGTAATGCCGCTCAGAGGACTGAGCCATCTGGACACACTTCGTGCTGTCACACGGGCCCACTGTATCAGTGACATCATGCTAATCTGATTCAAAGGAACAAGAAGTGGCAGGTATGTGGGGGCCTCGTTAAGGTGCATGAGCTCTGCAGGGCTCAGGAGCCCCCACACTGGCATCTGTTCAGGGGCTCCGTGGTCTGGAGCGAGCTGGGGCATCCTTTGTGAAGGAAAGAACAGATTGCTGCATTCTGCACCTGCCGTCACCACGAAGGAAGTCCGGCCCTGGAGGCCTCTTGGGTTCTAAAGCTCACGTAGCCCACACGGAGCCTCCGTGTGACACACATGCTGAGTTTTGGAAGGCTGCCGTCTTTCATTGGGTCCCAGAGCCGGAGAAGACCTGGAAAAGGCCTTAGTATTAGAGACGCTAAGAGCGGTACAAACAGCCCTTGGGACACACACATGGGCGGATCTTATGCTGGTGGTATTGGAGGCGTTTACGGGGGGCGGGGGAGAAGCCATGTGGAGTTTATGATAAAGGCCGATAGGCTCATGCAATGTCCGCACTGAGGTTCCGGAGCAAGGTCCTGCCATCTGCAGAGGAGAAGTGAAGCCAAGTACGCGACAGCTCCTGCGGGCATGAGTTGACACCGCGGGCAGAATTGACCCACAGGAGCTGGATTCTATCTGACCCCTGACATCAGAAGGTCCTGCCCACGTAGCAGCCGTCCACCAGAGCAGGGGAGTGGTCTGTCTAGACCAGGACCAGTCACAGCCTAGTCACAGGTAAGCGGCAGGAGCGGGATTCTGCGGGACTTAGGCTGAGAACACCCACAAAGGCAAGGTCTGTGGGACAGAGTAGAGCCCCACGGTGGATTCTGGCCCTGGGGGGAGCGGTGAGAGGAAATCTTCCCAACGAGTAGAGCTTTAGAGAAGCTGTCCCCCAGCTGGGGGACTTTCTGTCTGCTGCAGTAGGTCTGGGCCGCTCCCGGGGCCGCAGTGGATGCTCTGGTGTGTTGCTCCTGTCCCCTCCAGGACAGAAGTGCGTCCTCCTCCTGCTCCTGAAAGTGTTGCCCGCTGTCTGCCCATAGCCACGTCTCTCTCTAGAAACTGCCTCTGCCCAAGGTCTTTCATCCCCCCAGGGCCACATCCCTTGACTGGAGAATGTGGGACAATAGGTGTGGCTTCCATGTCTTAACTTGGGACGTCTCCAAGTGACTCTCAGACATTCCCGTGCTGGTAGCTGGGGCCTCTGTTGAGCTGCTCCCGGCACCGGGTTCTGTGTCCGGCTTCACCACGTGTGTTGTTGGATGTAAATTTCAGAGTCTCAGAGTCTGTTTCCCGGAGAACCTGACCTGAGATACCGGAGAAAGGGCATTGAGTTTTTTATGTTTATCCTGTATCTAGTCTTTGTACAAAATTGCAAATTCTACTGTATATTTCAATTTCTTGACTTGGTTCATCGGTTGGAATTGTCAAACTAACCGTCAGTAATAGCTGTAATGCTGAGAATTTTCATCTCTTTACCTGATTTGAATACGTGCAGATTTTTGAGGTGTTTTTTTTTTAATCATATCTACATAAATTTCTTCTGGTCTTACACATTTTTTTTTTTAAATGCATGGCCATTCAGTTGTATGAAATGCCTTTTGGGTATCTCTTGACAAAAACACTGGGTTTTTCTTCTTTATCTGCTGGTGTAATAAATTGTTGACCAGTTTCATAAAGCTTAGCTGTTCTTGGTTTTGTAACAAATGCTATCAGTTCATGTTTTTTTTTTTTTTTAATTTGATAGACAGAGATCACAAGTAGGCAGAGAGGCAGAGAGAGAGAGAGAGAGAGAGAGAGAGGAGGAAGCCGGCTCTCCGAGGAGCAGAGAGCCCAATGCGGGACTCGATCCCAGGACCCTGAGACCATGACCTGAGCCGAAGGCAGAGGCTTTAATCCCCTGAGCCACCCAGGTGCCCCCAGTTCATGTTTTTGATTATCCTTTACATGGAGTTGTATTCCACATGTCAGTATTTAAAAATTCCTTCCTACTTTCTTTGCCTCATTCTTCTAATGAGGTATTAGCATTAATGTGATGCTGACTTTTAAAAAATGAATTTTAGAGTTTTAGTATTTTTTTAATAGATCAGAGTTATTTCAGTAACAAAGGAATTCTCTGACTTATGAAGGTTAAATAGAACTCATCTTTAAAAATGCCAGGGTCTTGTGCCTTTTAAGATGGGAGAAATTTAATAATCTTTCCGGCTTATCCTGTAGTTTTCCTGTTGGTCACTTCCTTCTTCACTGACATGGTGTCTGTAGTTTTGACCAAACCCTGAAGTTAACACCTCCAGACGTGTTCTAACTTGTCAGTCCCCTGGATCACGGATGGATGGGATGCCCACTCTTGCCCAAGATGTGTGGAGGGGTGTGGATGCTGAAGCCTACGTGGGCTTCCTTTGGTTGGATTGGGGTCCTCAGTAGTAGCAGAAACTCCAAGTGAACTATCTGAGAAAAGGGCTGCTGTCCCAGACCTGTGGGTGGTCTTCAGCGTATGCTTTGAAGTGATGACAAGCTGTGATGCAAGTCACAGAGACTCGGCACGTGTTGTCAAGCACAGGAAAGGACGTTCGAACTCGGGGTGGTAAGGAGAATCCAAGCTTACGATCAATGAGATATTGTTTTCCATGCAGGACTGACAGAACTGTAAAACGGACCTGTCTCAGTTTAGGAGACGGTGTCTGTGACACGGATATGGGAGTGAGTTTGTGCAACACAGTTAGACACCAGTTTGGCGACTTCTGTCAACGCTTCACGTGTGTATAAACCTGGGATGTAGAAATTCCTCTTCTAAGAATTTCCTTCCTAAGAAGCACCGCGCAAGTGGGCAAGCAGACAGACATAAGGATGTTCACGCCACGGTATCTGAAATCGCGAATATTGAAGAATTAACCAAAGAGGAGGAGTTAAGCGAACGCGGCCCCGTGGTTATTATGAAGCTTATGCAGTTATTAAGAAGAATAAAATAGATCTGAGTGTGCAGGCAGGGAGTGACCCCATTATGTGCTGTTGATACGAGGATCAGCCTGCGGAGCGAGCCTTTGTGTCCGTTGTGTGAGTGTGTTGAGGCGCTTAGCACGAGGTCTAGAAACGTGGTTACCCCTGGTAGGGTGGCAGGGTAGTGTGGGGAATGCGGAGGACACGTTATCTGTTCACTTAATTTGTATCTGTACTGCTTGACTTAAGAAAAAGCATATATTACTTTGGCAATAAAACAAAAAGGTCTTTCAGTGCTTGCAACAGAAATGCTGATGTACTTTGAAACCAGGGGGCAATTTCTTCTAGAAGGAGCGGTGCTAGAGCCTCCTCGCTGGGAATTGGACTAAACGTGACTTAGTCTTTAAGGGAACCAGGCAAGGCATTAATTCTATTAATTAATGCATCGGCAGATTCCGTCTCAGCGAAGGCTGTCTTAATGAGGTGCTCGGGGCATCCATTATTTATCTTACAAATACCAACTCAGGGCCCTACTCGCGTCAGGCCGGTAACGGATGTGCCCTCTGAGCCAGCGGCGCTGGAGAGAAGCGCACGGAGCTCGCAGACCGCTGCCTCCTCCCTGCGCGCACCCCTTCCCTCCGCCGCGACCCCGCGGGTTCCCACGCACCCAGACGCCCCCACTCTCCGTCCTTTCTCCCCTACGCCGCGCACCCCAGAGCCCCGCGGAAGAGTCCCTGCGGCCCGGCCTGCAACCTCACTCCCGCCCAGCACTCTGGGCCTCCCGCACACGTCGCCCCGGGACCTCTCAGTCTCCTTTCCTTCCGGGGCATGGGGGGCTGGGACCGAGACCGCCCCGTAAAGCCGCGCGGGTCGCCCCCGGTGCCGCGAACGGCAGAGTCGCTCTCACGCGCCCACCTCGCCACACCGCCCTGCCCGGGGGCCTTCCCATTCCGCGTCCCCCGGGGCGCGTCCCTGCCCCCCGCGCACACGCCGCGCGGCCCCCCGCGGCCCGGCCCGGCACCCGGGAGCTGTCCGCGGTGCTGACCGCAGGCGCCGCCCGCGCTCGGCCGCTGCGCACGCGTCCCGGGCGGGGCGCGCAGGACCCGCCGGCGCCGCCACTGCGCAGCCTCCCGCGCGGCCCCGGCCCGGCCCGCGCCCGCACCCCGCGCCCCGCGCCTCCTCCGCGGCCCCGCGGCCTCCGCCGGCCGCTTCCCCGGCGCGCCCCGGCCGGCCATGGCGCTCAACCACTTCCTCTTCGCGCAGTGCGCCTGCTACTTCCTGGCCTTCCTCTTCAGCTTCGTGGTGGTGGTGCCGCTGTCCGAGAACGGCCACGACTTCCGCGGCCGCTGCCTGCTCTTCGCCGAGGGCATGTGGCTGAGCGCCAACCTGACGGTGCAGGAGCGCGAGCGCTTCACGGTGCAGGAGTGGGGCCCGCCGGCCGCCTGCCGCTTCAGCCTGCTCGCCGGCCTCCTCTCGCTGCTGCTCGCCGCCGCGCACGCCTGGCGCACGCTCTTCTTCCTCTGCAAGGGACACGAGGGGTAAGTGGGGGCCCGGCGGCCGCCCTGCCCCGTAGACGCAGCCCGCGGGCCGGGCGCCGCGCCCCTTCCGAGCGCAGAGCGGCGGGCGCGCTCGGACGCCCCCGAAAATCAACCCTGGGCGCTCACGGCCTCCGTGCCAACTGCCTTTGTCTGCGCGGAACCCGGGGACCATGAGGGGCCCCCGCGCTGCGTACAAGGCCAGTACCTTCCCCATTAAACGTGCCCCCCCCCCCCCCCCCCCGCTTTGGGCATTAACCAGTCCGGCCCTGGGAGGCAAATGTTGCATTGTCATCTCTGAGGGGCCCTGGGCCCTCCCTGGCTTGCGGGCTCAGCCCAGGCCTCCGGGCTGTGGACAGCTCCACGCGCGGCCCTGCGGCTCCTCCAGGTGCAGGCGAGGGATCAGGCCAGGCGGCCGGCTGACGAAGCAAACTGGGGAGTCCTCTCCTCATCCCCACACCCTTCCTCTGGGTAAGAAGGATGACGGTGAGATGAAGGCCAGAGGGCACATCTCTAGGCCCATAGGCTTGCCTGGGGACTCAACAGGGAGCAGCGTGACCACGAGGCCTTCCCGCCTCCTGGTCTCCATGTCCTTCTTCACCTTTCCCCACCCTGGCACCATGTTGTGAGGGAGGGATGTGGGCCCCTCAGCCCATAGCCTCCCTTGTGCCTCCACCGCTGGGACCCCCTGGGGACCCAGCCACACCCAGCCTTGCCCCTCATGGACCTCACATCTGCAGAGGAAACCCGGACTCCCAAACCCCGCCCCACCCTGGCCACATCCAGCCCTCCTTGGCAGTTCTTGGGGACACGAGAGACAAGCTACGGCTCTGAGGGTCTCAGTGGGACAGACGGTCAGGTGGGCACTGTTGAGGGCTCTCCGCTTGGCTTGGGCACGGACAGAGGGGCTGGAGAGGATTCTCAAGAGTGGTGGGTGAAGAGGCCTGGAACAGCCCAGCGTGGGGGCCAAGACACCCAGAGGGGCAAAGTCCAGCAACCCACATGTGTGAGTTTCGGGGCAGCCCTCACAACGCACCACCAACAATTTATTCTGCTGCAGCCCTGGAGGCCAGAGGCCGGGGGTCAAGGTGCTGGCAGGGTGGGTTCCCTCAGGAGGGAGAATCCTTTCTAAGCTCGCTTCTGGTGGCTGCCTGCAACCCTGAACATTCCCTGGCTTGGGCTTTGTGTGTCCAATCACAGTCTCTGTCTTCACAGGGCCTCTCCTCTCTCCGTTTCTTCCCGTCTTCTTATAAAGACACCCACCGTTGGACTTAAGGCCCAGCCTAAATCCAGGACGACCTCATCCCGAGATCGTTAGCTGAATGGCACCTGCAAAGACCCCACCCCCAGTTAAAGTCACACACACTGGTACTGGAGTACTGGACACACGTTGTTAGGGTCACAGTTCAGCACACTACACGAAGGTTCTGGATTGAGGGTCTGCAGGAAGCCACTTGTCAGCCTGGGGGGCCTCCAGGTGCTGTGGGGCTGGGGCTTAGCCTAGGGTGAGCCTGGGCCGGTCAGGGGGCCACCCTGCCCTGCCACAGGCCTCCTTCTTCCACAACGGTGGCTGGTGTCCCCAGGAGGCATTTGAGATGCCATCTGCCTGCACGTTGTCACGCCTGGGTGTTACCCTAGTCAGTGTCTCTGTGCAGATCGGGGCGGGGAAGCAACTTTGATATGAGACAGGGTCTGAGGAAGAGGACAGACAGCAGTAGGAGAGAGTAGCTGGGGTCCCTTCCATCTGGGAAGCTGAGAGCAGTGGGCACAGCCCGTGCAGGGGCTGTGCTTGGGCCATCAGCTGATGCCCACCAGCCCCCCTTGTCCCTGTAAGACCAGTGGCCTCAAGAGACCCCATTTTACAACTGTGAGATGAGAGGAGAGAGACCACCGTTACTTTGCTCTCCAGCTTTGAGGCCCGATTTGTGGGAAATGACCAGGACTCCCTTTCTTGAAGGCTCTGGGCCCTTAGCTCTCCCCGCCCTGCTCACAGTCTCTGGGGGTCCCTTTGGGCTCCAGAATCTTGCACCACTGAGCCACAGAGGCCGGGCCCTACCTTCCAGGTCCCCACCAGCTAGACCCCGAGCTCCTGGAGGCCAGCTGTCTTACAGGGACAAGGGGCATGTGGCAGCCAGCCAACCATGCTCTCTGTCGAGGTGCCGATCCTTCATCCCGGTTTTCTGGCAAGACTGAGCCAGAGCTCCCCTGGACATCCAGGGCTGGCCCTCCATCTGGGGGGGCCCTGGGCTGGATGAGCCCAAGGCAGGCGTGCACCTCATTTCTCTCTGCTTAGGGCTGAGCTTGCGAGTCACAAATTAGTGTTTGTTGAATGAAGACAGAAACATGCCTGCGTGTGAGGTCGGCTGCCCCACAGCTACCCTCCCCGGGCCCCCCACCCCTCCCCAGCATGGAGGTCTGCAGGTCCACAGTCTGGCCGAGGGGTCAACTCTGCAGGCTGCCTGTGTCGGCAAGTCCTGGGCCCCCAGAAAGGTTGGGCCTGCCTCCTGTAGCCACAGGCAAGATGGGAACCCAGAGAAGCCAATCCCAGCTCAGCTGCTGGGCAGGCCTCCTAAAGCAGGCAGACAAGTGTTGGGTCAGTGGGGACTTGGGACGGACAGGAGGCTCAGAAGGGCCATTAGAGCGAGCTCATGGGATGGCAAGGGCCCTCAGGTATCTAGCCCATCAGGGACCTCAGTGCCGCTGTCCAGCTCGTAGTCCTAGAGGGCCCTACCCGCTAATTCTCCTGAGTCCGGCTGCAGAGACCAGCCAGGAGCCCCACCGAGAGCGAGGGTAGAACCCTACACATTGGTCTGTGGGGCGGGCTCACAGCTGGGACCCCAGAGCCTGGGTCAGACCTTGTCCCTGGCGCCAGCTCCCTCCTCATGTAGGGTGTGTCCCTGGGCATATGGGGACCCAGACAGTTTGTGTCCAGGAGCGGACAGGGTGAGAGGAACGGGTGCATGACTCAGTGGCACCCGTGGCTTCCCGGGGTGCTTCCGGCTGGGGGCGCATGGGTGACCTGAGGGTGGGTCGCAGGCCTGGTGGTCTGGGGCAGCTTTGTCTGAGTGTGCTGAGCCCTCGAGGTGTGCAGGCGGCAGCAGTCTGTGGTTGACGGCTGGGAGCACACCGGGTCAAAACCAGCCATCTGCTGGCCCACACATGTCCCCCAGCCCACAAACGCTCCAGGGCTTCCCGGGATCCAGTCACCATGGAGACAGCACATGCAGGCCGGCACCCTGAGAGGCAGTGAGAAAGATGAAGTTAACCCAGGACGTGCCGGCCCTCCTGGTGGTTTGGCTGCTCCCCTGTGGGTTCTTGGGGAGCGGGGAGCTGGGTCACATTGTGAAATCTGTGGGGCCGGGCCCAGGTAGGCTCTGGACACACCCAGTTCTTCAAAGCTCTGGGAAGCCCAGGCAGGCTCCATAGAAACAGACCAGAAATGGACATGGCAGGAGGCTCTTGGGGGGATGACTGCAGCACCCCCTTCCCTGTCTCATGGGATGGGGATGCCATGTTCCTGTCATCGGAGAACCCCAAGTCTTACCTGTATAATAGGGATGTGGCTGAAATCTGCAGACAGTCTGGGTTTCTGGCTCTGGGAGGCTGTGTTGGAACCCCGCTGAAGGGGGTGGTGGGCAGGTCTCCGATGGGAGTGGGGGTGTGTGTCTCAGGCTGTGCTGGGGGCTCCCGGAGGGGTGTCTGGCCACACAGGGAACAGCGAGCTGCTGGTGTGCATCTCTAGAATTTGGCACAGACCGTGGGGCCTACTTCCCCCTCCCATGACAGGGAGCAGGATTTGAGGTCAGGTGGTGGCCTGGCCAGCATGTTCTCTGCACCCTGGCCATTCTTCCTCTGGCTAGGAGGGCCTCCTGGGGGCAGCGGCCTCTCATCCAGGATGCTGGGCACCTGCTGGGCAGGGCACCTGGTGGGATGGCAGAAGGCTGTTGGCAGGTGGAGGGCACCTAGGAAACTGACATCTGGGGGTTTGGCCTTCTGTACTGAGGACAGGCAGCTTCTTTGCTCCCCCTGGGACCACCGTGTTCTCCTCGGCTGGAGTGGCAGGCCATCCAAAGTCAGGGTGTAGGTTCTGAGGAACCTCTGCTTTCCTTAGAGCATTAGCTCTGGGAGTGGATTCCCTGAGCCCTGCCGGGGCCCACACTGACCACAGGGGGCATGGCTGGCCCCCAGCCACCATCTCCAGGGATCTGGCTGCTGACCATGCCCCCACGCTTCCATCCCCTGTGGCTACGGCCCAGCCCCACGCACGCAGCTCCGGGCAGCAGGTCAGAGGTCTGGGGAGGGAGCACGTGCTTTGGAGCAACACCCTGCGGTTGTCACTCTCTATCCCTTGCCCACAGAAGCTCCCTCAGTTTCCACAGTGACCAGGTGGGGGCTCTGGCTACCCGATTTACAGAGGTAGAAATTGAGGCCCGGAGAGTAACTTGCTGAAGGTCATGCAATTGGCCCGAGGTGGGCCAGATTTGACACTCTGCTCTGCCTGGTGACAAGCCGGGACTTGGGGTGGGCCATCATGTACCCCTCTTTATGACCATAGGCCCTGACACCGTATTCAGAGCACCCAGGACCCACCAGATTGCGTTGTTCAGAGTTGGCCGTCGGGGTCCCCACCAGAAATGGGTGGTTCACCCAAGCGTGGCTAGCCTGAGGGGGGCGGTTGGCAGAGACGAGAATGTGGGCCAGGCGTAGGCGCCGCAGTGGCCCAGTCACCCCCTCTGGCCATGGGGACCATGGAGGGGAGGGTTGGTGGCCGCCTGGAGGGGGCACTGACCTTTGGTAGAGGGACAGCCCACCGGGGACGTCCCCTAGCAGCCCCCTGGAGATGAGCTCCCACCACCCCCGGTCCCCTGCCAGGTCCGCACTGGCTGAGCTTGGCCAGGAGCCCGGGAGAGGGGTCACTGCTGTGGTCCCCTTGGGACAGTACCTCAGGCAGAGGATGGAAGAGCCCCTAGGGGGGCCATGTCGGTGTGGCCCTGCCTCCTATGCTCCCCACCCCCTCCCCGGTCACAGCTGGGCCTTTCAGGCTTCCGTCACACCTCAGGTCCAGGCCGCCAGTGTGGATGACCATGTGGGCACAGGGCCTCGGGGCCGCTGAGCAGGGGAGTGGCTTGGAGAGGGTGCTGGTCCTAATGGGCTGCGAGCGAGCACTCCTGGGTTTGGATCTTGGCTCTGCCTCTTCTGGAAGGCTGTACTGGCAAGCGCTTCCACTCCAGGCTGTTGGGAGGCTGGGATGGGACTTTGTGGTGGGGGACAGTGAGGGAGAGGCAAGTGTCCCCTGGTGGCCCTGCATGGCCCCCTCGCCCCAGCTGGGCCCAGCCCCCAGCTGTCTCCTGGCACTGGCGCACGGTGACCTTCCTCTCCTGTCCTTTGCTGAAGCTCCTTCCTCTACGCCTTCCTGAACCTCCTGGTCAGCGCGTCTGTGGTCTTCCTCGTCTTCATCGCCAGCACCATCGTGAGTGTGGGCTTCAGCATGTGGTGTGACGCCATCACGGAGAAGGGCACTGTGCCCCACAGGTGGGCCTGAGCCCTGCCCCTCCCTGCTGCCCCCAGTGACGTCCTGGGGCATGAATCCTATTCTGAGCACGAGGTTTTGCTCAACCTGCCCGGGGCTCCCACCTGTGCACACCTGGCCAGCACCTTCCCTGGACCTGTCCCCTTGATGTGGGTGCCCTCTTCACATGAGAGTAAGGCCCCTGCACCCCCGGGGGTAGGTCCAAGCTGGGGCACAGAGGCCCAGTGTGCTCAGGGTCCTGGAGACCAGATAGGACCACACAGCCAGGCCCCGCAGATCCCACCCTGTGCCGCCTTCGGAGGTGGGCTGCGGAGAACCGAGCTGGCTTTCTCCTGGGGGTTTGGAAGAGACAGCCTTAAGGATGGGGAGGAGCGAGAGCAGAAGCTTTTGGTTGGAAGGGGTCAGGGATGAGGTCTTTGGGGTCAGGATAGCTGCCTCACCGTTTAGGGGTGCTGCGTGCCGCTCCCTGTGCCCGATGTCCAGCGTCACCTGCCACCCCATGTCTTGCTGTTTCAGCTGTGAGGAGCTCCAGGAAATCAATCTGGAGCTGAGCGCGGACAACTCTGCCTTCTACGACCAGTTTGCCATCGCCCAGGTAGGCGGGGCTGGCCTGGTGGGAGGGGCTGCCAGGCAGGCCGGGAGGCATGCATTGTTGGGGAGGCGTCCGTTCACTGTTGAGCCTCACTGCGTGCACTGCCTGACTCCCAATGCCCTCCTCCAGGGGAGGCTGAGGATGGCGCCAGGCCGAGGAGACATAGCCGAGGGAGCGGTATTCCTGGATTTCCGGGGCTGAGGGGGGCTCTTGCAGCTGGAGGTGGAGAGGGGTGAGGCATGGGGGATCCTGGGAGGAGGGGACAGGTGAGCTAAGTGCAGACGTGAGGTCCAGGGGCTGAGAGAGTGGGAAGGAAACTAGGCGTCCCATCCTGGGTCTGCAGTGCCAGGGCCGGGACCTTGGGTTCTGGTCCTGGCGCCAAGTGGGCACGCTCGGACAAATGCTGGGGCCTCATGGCTATTCCCTGGCCAGGGGAAGCCGATGTGGTGTCCGAGGAAGGGTGTGGGGGGATCTAGCCTGTGAATTTGGAGGAGCCCACCCCTGATTGCTGTGGGGGGACAGCCCTCTCCCAGCCCTGCCCTTGTGTGAGCTTTGTTCCCTGCCCTGCAGGTGCGTTTCAAGGGAGTCCTTTAGCGAGGATGCTGGCGTGTCAGGATTTGCTAGTGGTCAGTAGGGGCTTTTTCTCAAAACTTGCATCTGTGTTCAGGCAGATGCTATTGGCGAGGGGTGCCCAGGGGTGCCCGGTGGGGCTGGTTCTTTCCAGCTCTGAGCAGCGCTTGCTGGCACCCAGGTCCACTTCTGGACCCCAGGTCTGCGTCTCAGGGCTCACGCTGGCCAGGGGCTGCTCTGAGGACCCTTCCCAAGGAGAGGCGCCCTCCAGGGGCTGGGCGTCCAGTGCGTCTGGAGGGTCTCTGCTGACGTGCGCAGAGACCGCCAGAGACACCCACACTACAGCTCAGCGGCAAATGCTTTAGCCCTAATTTGCGCCAATTAGATTAGAAAGGCGAGAGCCGGGTCTGGTGACAGGTAACCCCCAGTGAGAGTCTGGGTGCTGCGGCTCGGGCCTGGTTCTGATGAGATGGTTTCTCCTTCTGCTGTTTGGGAACCACAGCTAAAGGTCGATTTGTTCCAGCAGCTGGAGAAGGAGGCGTTACGGAGGGGCTCTCCGCGGAGCGGGGCCGGCCTGGCTGCCTGGGGGCCTGGGTGGCCAGAGTCCCCGGATCCGTTGTACCACCTGGGGTTCAGAGGGTGGGGGTGGGTGGGTGAGCCAGGAGGTGCCGCAACCCCTTGGGTCCCACCTTGCTCTGGGGCAGGTGGGGGGGCACCGGCCGTGGAGGGTGGGTCTGGCTGGCCTCCTGACCCTGCCCCTGCCCTCCCTCTCTGTAGTTCGGCCTCTGGGCCTCGTGGCTGGCCTGGCTGGCCGTCACCATCCTGGCGTTCCTGAAAGTCTACCACAACTACCGCCAGGAGGACCTGCTGGACAGCCTGGTGCATGAGAAGGAGCTGCTCCTGGCCAGGCCGACCCCCCGCGCCTCCTTTCAGGAGGAGAAGAGTGCCGTCATCTAGGGGTGGGCAGGGGAGCCAGCCCCCCGACGCCCTCCACCCCTGCCCGGGCTCACGGCCCGACCCAGGGCAGCGGCTGGGGACTCGGCCCAGCCCCACCTATCCCTCGCCTTGCATGTCTTCCCCCGGCACTGTGCACCGTGAGTGACTGCGCTCGCCCAAGCACCCCATTCCCAGCGCGAGTGTGCTTGTGGATGGGGGCGGGCGCCAGCCCTCAGACAGGGACACGCAGAGGCCCTGGGGTGTCGTCTGGGCCCCACGCACGTGCAGCACGCCTGTCTCGGGGGCACTGGCCTGGCGAGCCTGGGCGGGGCGTGTCCACCCTCTCGGGCGCCTCTGGCCCTCTTGCGGGTCGCGCCTCAGCCGCATGGCATCTCCACCTGCTTGCCCAGGTGTCATTTTGTGCCAACCCTGTGGCAGCAGCCAGTGTCCCCAGAGTGACCCCGACCCATGCTGACCACCCATCACTCTTTCTTGCTCCTGAGCCGTGTGTGGGACCTGGGAGCGGGGGGGCCAACGGCAGGAAGGAGCTCCCCGGCCGTGTGTTCCTGCTTCCAGCCCTGCGCTTTGCCCACCCCGCTGCAGGGCTGAGTTCCCTGTGCTCCTGCTCCGCGGCCCCCGGTAGCCAGTCCGGTCTCAGGAACAAAAGCACAGGTGCAGTGGTGTTGCCCGCCATCCGGTGGTGGCTCTGTGGACGTCCTGGCAAGCAGCCATGGTGTCAGAGTGGGGAGCCTGCGCCTGGTGCCCGAGGACTGGCTGGGGGAGCCCTGTGTGGCCCTGCCTGGAGAGGCCCTGGACCCCCATGTTTGTCACACAGTGTGGGGAGGTGGGGACATGGGCTGGGGGGCGCCCCACCTCCTGGGGACGGGGGGATGGAGCAGGTGCCACTGTGGGTGTCTGAAGGTGCATGTGAGTGCTGGTATGTTCACATGCATGTAAGTCTGCGTGGGGAAGGTGTGTGAGCTGGGGCATGTGTTGGCCGCACACCTGAGTGTGTTGTGTGTGAGCACAGATGCACCAGTCTGTGGGTGTGATTGTGCGTGGGAATACGAGGGTGTGAGTGTGTGAACGTGAGCGGGAATGTGTGCCTGCACAAGTGTGAGTATGAGCGTGTGCATCTGTGTGCACCAGAAGGCGTGTGCAGAGATCAGGGCGGGAGAGGACCAGCAGCTCCTCAGTACCTTCCCCCACCGGGACCACCCCCCCACCGTGCCCTGGGCGCCCAGTGGACAGTCTCCCTTCCCATCCGATGGCGTCCAAAGCACCGAGGCCCCTAGAGGACACGACTCCGTCCACACAGAGACAGGAAGAGGAATTGGGGGGACCTGGAACCCCAGAGCTCAGTGACCTCACTAATTGGGGGGTTGCTTGGCTATGGATCCCCTCCTCCCAGGGCTCCCCGGCTTCTGCACCTGCACGCAGCCCTCTGAGTCCTGTCCAGGACTGGGGCAACCCTTCCCCCGGGCTGACCCTCCTGCTGCTCCCCACACTCCCCGCGTCCGTGCCTTGTGCTGCTGGAGGTTTGGTCTCCCAAATGGGGGGCTCAGGGTCTCCAGAGGCCATGGGTCTGGGTCTGGGTGGAGGTGACTAGTGGGTCGGGCAGCCAGGCTCTGGGAAGGAGGGGCAGCGCCAGGCTGTGGGCTCCTGGAACCTGAGGGTCCACTGCAGGTTTGGGTCTCAGGCTGGCAGGGACGTGCGCCCACACTCACCTATAAGTGTCACCTGCACAGCTGGATGGCCGTTGTCACAGACCTGTCTCAGGCCGGCGGAACCTGGCACCTCTAGGTGTCCGTGTCTGGGGTCTTAGGGACAGCTGGGCCCTGGGAGCGGGTGGTGGGACCACGCTGTGTGCCCTGCAGGAGGCAGGGGTTGGGGGCCCTGGGGCAGGACAGGACGGGCAGGCCCCAGGCTTCCTGAGATGGGACCCCAGGATCGTGTCTGCGGTGGTGCCTTGCTTCTCCCAGCTGCTGTCGACGACTCGTCTTTGTTTTAATTCTACTTCTGACGAAATTGAAAGTCATGGTTCTTCCAGTTCAGTGTATCTATTTCTCAAAGTCAGAATAAACACAAGAGTTCCTGAGCCTCGCCTGTCCCCGCCCTGCCCCCTCCGCTGTCGCCTCCTGGCTTCGGGACTCGCCCACCGCTCACACATAGAAACCTGCCGGCGCGCATCCCTGTAGCTTCAGGAACTGACGGGGTCAGGGCCGGGCCTGCCTGTGGCTGGACACTCATGCGTGCGCACATTCCGGGGGCTCTTCTCGCCGCGGCGCCCCAGGTGCAAGGGCGGCTGTCTCAGGGTCGTCTCCCCGGAGCCCCGGCTCACGCTGTGCGGACCCTCCGGAGACCCTTGGCTGAGAGCTCCGGCGGTAGGGCTTCCCCAAGATGCATCCCAGACTAGACCGGGCTGAGCCTGAGGCCTGTGCCTGCCCCATGGGTTCGGGCACGTGACCCAACCTCTCCGAGCCTCAGTTTCCCTGCCTGGAATATGGGGCAATAACGTGCCTGTCCTCTTCAGGGGGTGGAGGTGAGAGGAAGTGGGGGGCCGGGGGGAGGGCTGGGCAGTTCCGGAGTTGGCGGCAATCACCCTGGTTACCCTAGAACCAGCTGGAGGGTCTGCGAGGGCTGGGGCTCGGGCCCCCCACTGCGGCCCTCTAGAGGCTACATCTCCTGGAGACAGGCCCACTGGGCTCCCTGCTCTGGGCTCCCCAAACCCCGACCCTGGAAAACACCACCCCTGCCCTTGAGGCCCAGAAGGGAAGGCTCCCCGGTGCTCCCACCTCTGCTTTAGCTGAGGAAATCCGTCCCCATGTCCCTCCTTTGGGTAAAGACCCCCAGACTGATAAAAGGGGTGGCAGTGTGTTTTAATAGAAATCCGTGTGTCCCTGCTTAGCCCGTGGGGCTGGACGCTCAGAGCCTAACCCCAGGAAGGGGCAGCACCGCACTGGCTGTCCTGTGGACCCCTGTCTGAAGGTGGCTGGGGGAGACGGCGTCTTCCTGGTAGTCCCTCCGGGTGTCTGGCCACGGACCTCCCTGCTGTGTTCAGGCGTCCCCCTCCCTGCAGAGTCTGGAGGGGCCCCTGGAGCCTGTCGCGCCGTCTCCCCACGGCCTCGCAACGCCGCAATGGCGCGCTGTATGCACAGTCACGGGACACCGAGCCCCTGCGGCGGACAGGAGGCGCAGCCTGGGGGCCCCGCACAGGGGGTTGTGCTCTGACGGTGGCGGGTCTGGGCGGAGCGAGCTCCCTCTCAGCCACCACCAGGCTGACAGCTGAGGAGAGGGGCAGCCTGTATGTCTCCCCGGAACACGAGGGGTTCCTGAGGCCTCGGGGCCCCCGGGGAGCGGTCAGACTGGCTGAGAGGTTGGCGCCCCAACGGCACCAACAAGGGGAGACCCCAGGCCCCTGCCCTGTGTGTAGCGTCAGGAGGGAGGACACACCCAGCTGCCAGACCCACCTGTCTCCACGGGGTTTTGAGGTCCAGGCCCCGCAAGCCCCAAGCAGCAAAGGCCAGTGTCCCCTCTGAGGGACCCCATGGGTACAGGGCCGGCGTCCCTATCGAGGGGTTCTGCGTGGCCACATCCGGGCCTGGCCCAAGGGTGCGGAGAGCTCCCACCGGGGTGAGGGAGGGCCTGGGGCTCTTGGGGGCCAAAGCATGTGTGGATTCTCTTTATAATAAAACTGCATAGTGGAGCCCAACGTGGGCATCAAGAGGGACCGCTTGTCGGGGCTCCTGCCCCCCCCACTCGGCCAGTCGCAGGCCTGGAGGGGAGCCCACCCCCGTCAGAGCTGCAGCAGGCCGCGCCAGCAGGAGAGGGCCGTGTGCCTCAGGTAGAGGCTGAGCCCCAGGACCCGGGCCCGCAGGTCGTCAAGGACCAGCGCCACGGGCTTGGCTCGGCCACAGCACAGACCCAGCACCAGCATCAGCAGGACGCACATGGACAGCCGAAGGAGCAGGGAGCCGCCTCGGGGCCGCAGCCGGCTGGGCGCTGGGGTGGGGGGCGGAGGGGGACCCGATGAGCCCCTGCCCGCAGGCCTGGCCCCACAGTGAGGACCCTGCGGGGCTCCCTCCTCCCTGCAGGACTGGTGGGGAGGCTGCAGACAGAGCAAGTTTCACCCCAAGTGTGGGCTCCCTTGGCGTGGGTCCCTGGGGTACCTCGCATGGTTCCCATGGGAAGTGGGACACCCCTATCCTTGCCTGGGGCCTCTGCCAGTGTTGGGTGGGTTCCGAAGAGCCTCCCGTCAGCTGTGCCCCGGCACCCACCCTGGGGGAAAGGGTATGGGGGAGTGACCACAGAGGGGCACAGTGTGTCAGGGTCCTGGCTAAGAGAGTGACCTTGCCAGGGTGGGGCGGGGGGCCCTGCTGGAGGCCCCGGGGGTGTGCGAGGGTTCAGACTCACCCCTGGTGGTGGTGGTGGCCGTGGCGGTCTCCCTGCTGGCGATGTCTGGGAAGGAGAACTGAGGGTGGGCTCGGGCAGGGAGGGCCCCCGCCTTGGGGTGCACGCTGCCTCCGCCTGTCCAGTGTCCTCAGGATCCCGCATCTCACGGCCACCCCGCAAAGCTCCCGGAGATGGGCCGAATCAGGTACAGCCACCCCGTTTCACAGGCGGAAGGTCCACACAGCCCTGTCCGGCTCCCCCACACATCACCCAGGGGTGCCCCAGCCTCCCGGCTTTAGGCTCAGGCTGCCAGAACTCGGGGAGCCCGAGAGGCTAGGTGCTGCTCTCAGAGCCTGTGGGAGTGTGGAGTGCGGTGACCCCGTGGTGGCTCGGGGGGACCTGCAGGGGTCCTGGGGCAGGACCATAGGGGCTGGCACCGGGAGAGGGCTGGGCAGGACCCTCGTTCCTGTCCATCCCCCACAGTGCACTGGGGAGGCCCAGGCCAACCCCTGGACCACCTGGGCCCTGATTCCCCGCCCGCTGAGTCTCTGTCTGCAGGGCTGCTGGGAAGCTCCTGGGGGAGTGCAGAGCTGAGCTTGTGGGGGCGAGTGCTGGACCCGGGAGGGATGGGCGCAGAGAGCAGGTGTGAGGAGTCCCATGAATGGCACAGGGCCCTTGGGAGAAAAGCTGAGACCTGGATGGGATGTTTAAGGTGGGCCGTCTGGGGAGACACCAGCATGTGCCGTCTGTGAGTTTTATCCACCACTCGGCAGGTCTCAAGAAGCACCTTGCTTGGGGGCAGTGTCAGGTGGGATCTAGGATGCCCCCGTGATTCCGGGCCCTCTAGTGTCATCCTGCCCTTGCTTCTGCTCAGCAGAATAAGGCAAAGTGGAAGGGATTCTGCAGCTGAGGGGCAAACCCCAATCAGCTGACTTTGAGTCCATCTACAGGGAGAGTATCTTGGGTGGGCCTGGCCTCATCAGGGAAGCTGTGTAAATAAGAGGGAGTGTCCATCCGCTCCTGGTCTCAGAGGCGCAGCGCTGTGGGTTCTGTAGCTGCAAGGAAGCCAAGTCCGCAAACAGCTCTGTGAGCTTGGACCAGGGCCCTGGGCCTCCGCTGGGAGGCGGTCCTGGCCCACACCTGGATGGCCACCTTGGGAGACCTGAGCAGAGGACCAGCGACACCAAGCCTAGACCCCTGACCCACAGGGTCACTGTGATAATAAACGTGGGCCACTCAAAGCTTCTGAGTCTGCGGTAACTTGTTCTGTGGTGGAGCCAGCTGATACAGGGGCCGGTCCCACCGGCAGGCCTGCGGCAGTGCCAAAGGGGCCAGGGGAGGAGAGGGCCGGTGGCGGGGAGGGGATCTGGGGCTGGGGGAATCCGGGAGGTGGGCAGTGAAGGATGCAGGCATGGAAGGAGCTGCGGGGCAACGGGAGGCGTCCCGGGCTGGCGGGAAGAGTGGGCGGGGCACTGCCCACTGCCCTCCCTGTACTGGCCCTCCACTGCTCCTCAGATTTGTTTTTTCCTGCTGGTTCCTGTTTTCCCGACCGTTACTCTGTGTCTAGCCTGAGCTGTGGGCCTGGGTTTTACTGGGGTTCTGTCTGTGGAGACAGGACAGGGGGCAGTGGTCCCTCCCGATGGCCCCCCGTGAGGTCCTGGGCCGTGTGGCTCCCTGCCCCCTGCCCCATGCCTGCTCGCCTGCTGTTCTTACAGTGGATGGCCGCCTCCGGGGGCTCCCGGAACCGCACCCGCCTCGAGGTCTTCTGTGGCTCGGCCCCGTGGCCACGGCGCTGTGGCCGGCTCCGCCTCAGGATGGAGGGGGGCCACTGCCTGTCGTCCTCCTGGGACAGGGGTGGGAGGCAGAGGGAAGCAGACAGAAGTGAGCCCCTGGGGCTGGAGACAAGGTGCCCTGGCCAGGATCCCTCCTGCCGCCACCAGGTTTGTGCAGAGGGACGCCCCGGGGCGGGGGGGACTCGCTGGGGGGGGTGCGTGGAGACCCCATGGACGGGTCCACCTGCTGCCCCTGCCTGGTGGCCTGACCCAGGGGCTGGTACCAACCCCGACAGGGCCTTAGTGATGCCAGTGACGATGTCGGTAACTGAATGTGCACCAAGGGCCGTCTTCCTGCCCGAGCTGCTACACGAAACCTCACTGAGTCCTGAAACGCTGGGCCCCAGGTCTCCTCTGTGCCTGGGCACCACAGGGGAGGCTGGGCCCTGAGCCAGGTCTGTCTGAGCTCAGTGCCCGGCTTGTGTCACACAGCGGGCCTCACTCACCCGTGGCCACCGGGAGGGATCTGGGCGTGAGACCCAGGCCGGAGAGGGATAGAGCCTGGACACAGGTGCCTGTGCAGGGGCTGCCCTCCCACCCACGCTGAGTTTGGAATGAGCCTCAGTGTTCCCACCTATAAAATGGGGACAACAGACTGTTCTGAGCTGGGTACACCCATTTTGAATGGCTCCTGGCTGGGAGGTCCCAGCCACACAGAGCTTGCTGCTGGCCTTCTGAGGGACATGGGACCCACCTAATCCTGGGGTTGGGCCCAGCTCATGGCTGTCCCCTACCCTCGGCTGGGACTCCTGTGCCCGTGGCCTGCCGCCAGCCTGGCCATGAGCAGAGAGGCTAGGTGGGGACTCAGGTCTGAAGTTGGTCCCCATTTTGCCCTGGCATGGGCCTGTCCCAGCTGCACCCTCACAGGCCGTCCTGGTCCTCCTCTCTCCACCCTCCCCCACTGGCAGGCCCTCCTCCCTGAGCTGCAAGGTGACCTCGCTGGGGAAGCCTCTGAACTTGTTGCTGCCTTTCTCCAGAGCCTGCCATGGCTCCCACTTCCTCTGCCTCGCGGGCACTCTCTCCTGGCCCATCCTGCCTGCCCGGGCCGTGGCCTTGCTCCTCTGGGTATGACAAGTGTCCCCCACTAGGGACCTCTAACCTCCTCTGTCAGATGGAATCTTTAAAGAGCCACCAGCCCCAGCCAAGTGATTTCCTCTCCTAGGAGTCCTGGGGCCAGGACAGCTCAGGCAAGGACAGGGACCGTGCCTCCTGCCTCTGCTCCCCCTTCCCCAGCCCCAGCGGGAGCCCTGAGGGCTGACCCTGGTGCACTTGGCCTTGGGGTCCCGGGATCAGGGCTTGTCCAGGACCCAGCCTTACCCTCCCTGCCCTGGGCATTGGCCAGCCTGGAGCAGCCTCGTCATTCTTCCTGGTGTGATGTCGTGTCTCTGGCCGGGAGCTGGGGCTCAAGGCTTGCCCTGCGGGCTTCATTTACTGGAACATGGCCCTGAGAGAAGCAGAGACACTATTACTGTCCGAGCGGCACTGGTCGGAGTAGACGGAGGGCCCAGCAGCAGGTGCGGCTCTCCTGCTGGTGCTCCCAGCACCCTCGCAGGCAGCGGGCGCCCCCCACCCCCATCAGCTCTGGTGGCCACGCTGGGCTTCACGCGGCTGCCATCCGTGACTTACAACCAGCCGCTGGCCCGGGGCGCTCCGAACGTGTGCGTTGACCCCGTCACGTGCAGTGTTTGGAGGTGTGTCGGGGACTCTGGGGTGGGAGGGAAGGGGTCCAGGGCCAGGCGTTGTTGGGGCTGCGTGGGGCTGGGAAGTCTGCCCCAGAGGGTCTCCTGCTCCGTGAGGGGCTGGAGCTGGTGGGGCCCCCGCAGACTCTCGTCTCTGTCTCTCCGTCCGTCCGTCCCTCCGTCCCTCCCCGGCCCAGGTCTAACTTCCTTACTAGCTGTAAGGAGGTGCCTCCCCAAGTCCACCGTGAGCCCGTGACGGCCTAGCATCGTCCTTCCCAGCTATGGCCCCTCTCGGGGAGATTCTCTTTCCCCTGGAAGGTTCCTGACTTCTGAGACCTGCCCCGCCCCTGCTGTGGGCACAGACCACGCCCGGAGCCCGTGCAGGTGAGGCCGGGCCCTGAGCACGAGTCCTTCGAGTCTCTCGAGGGCCCCGAGGTTTGGCCCCACTTTCAGTGTACATGTGGGGAATTGAGGCCATGTGGACACCAGGGGAGTCTCTGCCTCCCCCGGAGAAGGAGAGGAGTTGGGGCTGGCACAGGGCCCTGCTCCCCTTCATCCCCGGCCCAGGCTCCTCCCTGGCTCCCCGGTCTGGGTCCTCGGACGGCAGCCCTGCCCCCTCTGCACACGGCGAACGGCGGGGTTTTGTGCGGCGTGTCCCTGTCTTCTGCCGTCCAAGGACCCCACCCCGTGTCCAGGGCTGAGAGCCGGGCTGAAGCGGAGGGTCCCACACGGTCTCCGCACAGGCCGTCAGGGTCCCCCAAGGGGCGGGCAGCCTCAAGGGGTGCGGGCCCCGTGCAGCCTTCCCTGGGGAGACGGCGGGGTACTGCGTGCCTCGCCTGGCAGCATTGGCGCCGCAGCCGTGCAGAGCCTGGTGACAGTGATGGTGACAGTGACGGTGACGGTGGCCCGCACCGGGCAGCTTCGGTTACTCTAAAGCGAGTGGTTTTCTCCTCCTCAGCGTCAGGTTTTTATTGCAAATGGAGTCAGGAAAGGAGCCCAGAGCCCAGGGAGGGGGACACGGCCGGGAGGGCGGCCTCCCAAGAACATGTGCCGGTCCCTCAGGTGAGGACACAGGCCTGGAGAGGCCTGCGGAGAGCCCCCGCTCGGAGCCCTGCAGCGCCCGGCCCCTGCCTGGGACCGGGGACGGCGTCGCGCATGCACGTGTGTGCGAGCGTGCGCGTGTGTGCGCGTGTGCATGTGAGCGCGAGGGCGTGAGCACAGCCGTGTGGGTGCATGTGAGCGTGAATGTGCATGTGTGTGCGGGCGTGTGGCTGTGAGCATGGCGCCATGGCACGTGTGAGCATGTCCGTGTGTGCTTGTGTGACTGGGTGAGTGTGCGTCTGTCATGTGCATGCGCGCACACACACGGTGCCATCTGTACATGTGAGCATGCGCGTGCTCGTGCACGTGGAGCGCCTCTGCGTGTGTACGGCGAGGGCGTGTGATCACACGAGCATGTGGGTGCGTGCGTGCGTGTGCATGAGTGTGTCTGAGTGTGAACAGGCCCGTGCGCACGCGTGTGTGTGGTGTGTGCAGTGTGTCCGTGGGTGTCTCTGTGGCTCCGGTGCAGGCAGTCGGGTGGGTCCCACCCGCTTCATCACAGGCCTTGTGTGACCTGCGTGACCTTGGAAGGCCCCCTAACTCTCTGCCTCAGTCTACTCAGCCGAAAATAGGGATCACAAGCACGACTTCGTCCGCGGGCTTGGGGAGGGCAGGCACTGCTGTGTGTCAGGGGCTCGGGGTGAGCCTGGGACAGTCACTCGGGGAGAGTGGCTTTGCTCAGGCACAGAGCCTGGGGTCCCTCTGCCTGTGTGAGGACGGGAGCCCCGGGCCTTCTCCAGCCCAGTGCCTTTGCCTGGGTCGTCGTCCGCTGTCAGCTGGTCTCCCCCCGCCTCCCGCTGCCCACCGTCCATGCCCCCCCTGCCTAGCCCTGTCTCTGCCGTCAGTCTGGCTCGGGCTCCGGCTTCCCCTTGAATGTCATTTCCTCCGAGATAGGTGAAAGCCTTTGCCGACCCCCAGGACTGGCTTGAGTCCTGGGCTCTGTGTTCCTGTGGCTCAGTGACCTTTCTCAGCAGCATGACTGGCCGGGGCCGCCGGTTCCCCACGCACTAAACAGGAGGAGAGGAGGAATACTCTTGGCTCCGCCTCCCGGCTCCCCCACTGCCCCCCTCCAGCCGCTGGCAGGGCCCCCTCCCCAGGCTGGACTGCGGAGGGCAGGGCCCTGCGTGGGAGCGGGGAGGCCTCAGAGCCTGTGGCAGCGGACAGTGCCTAACAGGAGTGCCCTCCACGCTCAGGCCGCTCGTGACTGATGGGTGATAAAGGGCGGAAAATAGCTCAGGCCTGGGGCCCGCGGAGTGTCACCACGGCCCTCCTACTACAGAGGACACACCCCGAGGGCGAAGCTTCTCGGTCAACAGCCTCTCACCTCTGCTGAGGGCACATTCTCGCTCCCTGGGGGTAGGGACCTCGGTTGCTGTCTGCCCCCCATTGTCTCTAGGTGGGGGCCTGCCTGGCTGGGCCTGCCGGTCAGAGAGGGCCAAGGGTGCCTGAGGCGCAGGGCCTGCCCCAGGCCGGGGCCAGGGGAGCCGTGGGGGGAGCCTTAGGCTCTCCTGGAGCCTAAGGTCTGGCCAAGACCATGTGTCCACAAGAGCCCTGACCGTCTACAGGGTTTGGCCCACCAAGGCTTATCCTCTGTAGCCCAGCACGGCAGCCGAGGCCCACTGCTCCCGGAGCCCCAGCTCTGCACACAGCTCCCACCAGCTCCTGCCCGGCTCACCGCCTCCAGCTGCACCGAGCCCCAGGGCTGGGCCACCTGTCTTGCCATCGCTCTGTGATGCTGCCTGGAAGGCTTTTCACCGGCTCCCGGGCCACGTCCCTGTGCCCTGCTCACCCCATGCCACCGGCCACCCATTGCCTGCTGGTACGTCTCTATGCTCGCCAGGGTCCCTCGGACACCCCACATAGTGCAGGCCTGCGCGGGGAGGGGGCCTTCCCCTGCTGTGACCATGGGGCGGGCAGCCAGTTCGGAGCCCACACCGGCTCCTGTTGCCCCTTCACGGTGCCTGTTTGCCCGCAGGAGCCCGGCTCAGGGGCTGGAAGAGCTTCCCGGAGGTCCCGGAGTCCTGGGGAGACCGAGGGTCTCCTCCTGAGCCAGCAGGTCTGGAGCTGGAACGAGGGGAGCCACAGCCTGCGCCTATCCGGCACACCCGTCCAGGTGACTCCTCCCCCAGGGGCCGCGGGGCCGGTGCAGGTAGGAGAACCACGTCGGGACCTCATCTTGCAGAGGCTGGAGCTGTGAGCCCCACGGCTCACAGACCACATAAGTGTGCAGCCTCCCCCCAAGCCCCGTGCGCACACACACTCACATTGCTGCCCCCCCGTGCGCACACACACTCACATTGCTGCCCCCCATTCGCACACACACACGCACACACGCACGGGCCCTGGCCCGGCCCACCTGGGCTCCTGCAGGGGCTGCCCCTGGGGTGATCTCACCCACCTGCCTGGCCCCCAGTCCGCTGGCGATCGCATCCTTGAGCAGAGTGGGAACCGGAGCTGTTGTGGCTCCCGGGCCAGCTGAGAAGTTTCCATTACAGCCGTGGGGCAGTGGCCTCTGGACAGTCTGGCCCTGGAGGAAGCCGTCCCCACGGGGCCTGGTGGCCTTGCATGGTGTTTGCCCTCCCTCCCCCTCACCTGAGCAGCTTGTCTGAATGAAAGCTGGGGGGCTGCTGAGGCCCCAGGACGCACACTTCACCTTTTTCCAGCTGGGGAAGGGGACAGGAGGCCGTGGGCAGTCCCTCGCTGGCCTCCTCTCAGGAGAATGGGGGGCAGAGTGAGGGCCAGTGGGCAGGGGTCCCCAGGAAGGGCCGGCCGCCCCCAGCCCACTCATAGCCCAGGACAGGCTGGCTGCTCCCCAGATAACACACATTTCTGACCTCAGCAAGAGGAGAACCCCGGGGCGCACTCCTGGCTGACAGCTTGCTCCCTGGGCTTGCCCTGACGCGCCTGCCTGGGCCGGGGTGTGGGGACCAGGCGCTGTCCTGGCAGGCTCCACAGATGCTCCCCCACGTCTCTGGACATGGGGCAACAGCGGGTCAGGGGCGCGGCTGTCTGCTGTGTGCGGGGGTGCCCTGGAGTGGGAGATCCTGACCTTGAGAGCCCCAGGCAGAAGGGGGCAGGTAGACTCCGGCCACAGGGAGACCTGGGGGGTCACTCACCCCGAGTTCTGGGCCCCCGTGTAGACTGGAGGTCTACGCCACCATCCAGCACACCATGGAGATGGAGGAGATGTGCCGACCTTCCCGGAGGGGACTGCACACAGTAGGCGCCCAGCGAATGGTGTGTTCTGAGTTGGGGGGTGACCCACGTGCACGGGGGGCCAGAACGGAGATTCCTGCCAGTCGGGTCGGCTCACAAAAGGGCCAGTTCCCTGGGATAACTGAGTGCTGTGGTCTGGGCTAAGTGCCCGGAGTGACTCCATTCCCTGCACGACCGGGCTGTGGCCGCATAGACCTGCCCTCAGCAGGACCCCAGGGCCTCTGAGGAGGGCTCGCCGGTGTCCGTGCCCAGCCCTGCTGTCCCGACGAGAATCCTGGCTTCTGGCCACTTCCGAAGGGACCGCTCTCGGCTCATGGCCGGGGAGAGCCATAGAGACGGGTGCCCCGGCTTTGTGGTGGGAACCGCCCAAGCCACCCCCCGCAGCGGCCGGGCCTCGGGCAGGAGCACGGATAAGGGGCTGGCAGGGCCCTCCCTTGGGTCTGGCTGGGCCGCTGGGGAAGGGCTCCGAGTGCTGGGAACAAGGGTGTCTCTGCGAGCACCCACCACTCCCACTTTTCAGACAAGACATGAGGTTCAGAGGGGCCTGGGTCTTCTGGGGTCACTGACCACCCTGGTTTGCTTGGGAATGTGCTCGTTTTAGCACTGAAAGCCCAAGTCCCGGGTGAACGGGATGGACGGCCCCCCTCAGTCTTTGTCCTAGGGCCACGCAGAGTTCTCTGCCCAGATGTGGTCCACCTGTCTGCCTGTCTGCCTGTCCTCCTGTCCATCTGCCTGCCTATCTGCCGGCCCGCCCATCCTCCTGTCCTCTTGCCCACTTACCCACCTGCTTGCCTGTCCGTCTGCCCGTCTGTCCACCTGCCTGTCTGCCTGTCTCCCTGTTCCACCTGTCCGCCTGTCCCCCTGTCTGCCTGTCTCCTGTCTCCTGCCTCCTGTCTTCCGCCTGGGCCAGGTTCTCTGCCGGCGTCTCTGGCTGCAAGTCTCCACTCCGGCAGCTTCATTCCCAAATGGGAAGTGAGCTTCCCCCTATCGCCCTGAGCTGGGCCCTCACCTGGCTCCCTCCGTGGTCCCAGAAGCCAGGCTCTGTGGCGTCCTCCAGCGAGAGTGGTTCAGGGTGCTGCTGGCCCGCTCTCAGGCCCCCCGGAGAGGCAGCCCCGGGCCCGTGCAGCCTCCTGCTGCTCGGGTCTGGAGCTGCCGCTGGCCGGCCTGTGGGGCAAGTCTGCGGCCGGCCGGCGTCCCCGCCCCAGGCCCCTCGGCAGGGCGGCAGAACTTGGCCAACTGGCAAACGTTGAGCTATAATTACCTCTCCCCTTTGGCAGAAATAGCAGTGACCCTGCAGATCGGCCACTGGCCTGGTGTGGGAGGGGAGCTGCCAGTTTCCCAGGCCCCGAACACAGACAAGATAAGGGGTCAGTGCCCCGTCCCTGCCCTCCCGGCTTCCGGTTCCAGAGCTTTGCAGCCTTTGGAAAGCTCATGGATCAGAATCAGAGGCAGAGCTGGGGTGGGGAAGGCCGGGAGGTGAGGGGGGGCTGTCGGAGGGGAGGGGAGCACAGAGTCCGGGCCCTGCTTGACCCCGCCCCCTAGAGGACCCCACCTGCTTCCCACCCTTGCACCCTCCCCGTCCTGCTCTGGACACGAGGTCACGAGGTGCCATGTGGGGGTGCGCCCTGTGTGTCTCCGTGCTGGGGCCGTGGATGGTCGGTGTCGGGGTCAGATGGCAGACATGAGGCTCCCTGCGCTTGGCTCTGCCTCCCAGGGCGGAAGCCGCGGAGGACCGGGTGGAGGGTGGTCAGCACCGCGTGTTCCCAAAAAGCCCTTCTCATCTTCATGTGTAAGGGGACATGGTGTGGTGTCCCTGTTCTAGGGACACCGCCAAGGAGGGCTGGGGACAGTTTGCCTTCCTGAGGTCCTGGGACCAGACGATCCCCCCCCGCACCCCAACGCTGCCATGCCTGGCTGGGTGACGGCCTGCTGCCCCCAGGGCCCACGGAGACTGACGTCGTTGCCGCTCGCCCTGTGGGGTTTATCGGCACACCGCAAGGCCCGGCCACGCAAGACCGGCCCCCAGCTCTGCTCCCAGCCTGCTAATACTTCCCAGCCTCGACTGATCAGACGCGCACGCGCCTCCATCGATTGGGTTTCATACCCGCTGGTGTCTGAAGGGCGAGATAAGGCTGGCCCCGGGAGGCCTCAGAGAGTCTTTGGTCCCTGTGTCCCCGGGGAGGTGCTGTGGAGGGCCAGGGGCGCGGGTGTGCTCCCAGCTCCGTTGCTGTCCGGCGAGGGGACCCCAGGCAGCACGCCTTGACTGTCCCGTCAGCCGGAAGTGACCCCTGGCACCCCAACAGTCCTCTGTCTGCGGGTCTCCACTGGACCCTTGCCCTGTGCCAGGCCCTGGGCACATAGCTGTGCCCTCGCTTGGCTTTGGGTTCTTGGAAGGCAGGAGACATCCCAGTCCTTACGTTGTCCCAAGAGCTGTGAAGCCCAGAAGGGAAAAGTGTTCTCCAGAGAAGGAGACAGACACACACATGCGGGGATGGGAGTCGCTCTAAGGGACCGGTCACCCAGTGCAGGCTGAGAGGCCACGACCGGCGGGCGGCAGACCCAGCAGAGCCCGCTGTGGGCCTCACTCGGAGCCCCCAGGCCGAGCAGTGCCGCGTCCCAGCGGGATGGCACGGGGAGCGGATTCTCTCTCTGCCCGAGGCCCTGTGTGCCCCCCAACTGATCGGGCGAGGCCCACCCACGCTGGGCCGGCATCTGCTCCGCTCGGTTCACAGACTCCAGCACCCGTCTCATCTGGAAACACTGGAGTCACGTTCCACCGAACCCCTGGGCGCCTGCGGCCCAGCCACGTGGACGGGGAAAGCGAGCTGCTGCAGGGCTGATTGCCAACGTGAGGTTGGGGAGGGCCCGGGGGCTCTGTAATGGGGCCGCCCCAGCGAGTCAGCCTGGCCTGGGAGCATCACGGTGACCTCCAGGTTGTCAAGTGCATGGCCACGGTTCCTTTGTACCTGTGGCCCAGCACTGGGCCTGACCACCCAGCCACCCCGGGACAGGAGTCCTGCTGGAGGAAGGAAACCTGTGGTGTGTCGGGGAGGGCGGGCAAGGGCCCGATGTGGCCTCTCCCTCACCATGGCCTGGCTCCAGGGCCGGGTCCCCCGTGGGCAGGCCGCTCCACCAGGCTTGAGGGGAGACTGGCCGGAAGGGACTTCCCCACTCCCCCCATGCGGTCCCATGTGTCCTTGGTCACAGGGCTGTGTCCCCCGTGGAGCGTAAATAAGTTTCTGTTGTTTCTTAATGCTCGAATTACCCCGTCTGTGGTACGTTAATTGTGGCAGCGGTAACAAACGACCCTGCTGCCTCAGTGGTGACACCAAGACCGTGGGGCTGGAGGAGCGACACTGGGGGCCAAGGACAGGGGCCCCCAACCCTCCAGTGTGAGCATGGGTCCTGGGGCCCCGGCGGAGTGTGGGGAGAAGCAAGAGGGCTCTCACCACCACTGAGGGCCAGAGGGATGAGGAGAGGCAAGTCCCTCCCGGACTCGACCAGAGCCCTTTGGTGGACTGGAGAGTGAAGCCTGTGGGTGTGGGGGTTTGGGAGGGAAGAAAGGAGGGTAAGGGGGGAGGGAGAGAAGGGGCTTTACATTGGAGGGGCTGATGCAATGCTCTGGGTGAGACCCCATGTGGGAGCTCAGGCTGGCGTCCACAGGCCACCCCTCACTGGAGCTGGTGGGGTGGGGACGGTGGGATTTTCTACCGGGTAGAGCTGTCCAGGAGGAACAGCTGGTTGGGAGGTGGTGAGTCTGCCACGACTGGAGGCAAGCAAAGGAGGAGTCCTGCCTTTGGGGTCTTGCCGAGGCTCTGTGTGGCTCCAGGATAATACTGGCGGGGGGGATGCAGGGGGAGAGGGGAGCCGGCAATGTGGAGCCTGTCCTGTCCGGCCTGTGTGTCCACCAGGGTGGTCTTGGCCCGCCGCTGCTGGGATGGATGCTTCTCTGCAGATTCAGGCGCAGGGACCTGCCCGAGGTCATAGGCCAGCTGGGCCCGGTCAGTGCCCGTCACTCTGGAGCCCACAACGTGTCATTCTCGGACAGAAGCACGCGCCATCAGGCCGCTCGCTCGCCCGGCCCCCCGCCACCCCGCCAGAGCCCTCGTTCAGAAGCGGGGCTGCCTGGGTGGCGTCCCCCACCCTGAGCCTGGCGGGGCCCTGGGTCACCGCGTTCCGTTTGCCCACGCCAGTCAGAACCGCAGGACGCGGGGCCCTGTCATCTGTCTCCGACAGCTGCGGTAATGGGAACCACTGGGCCCCATTGTGTGCTAACAAAAGCAGCCCCTTTTCCCATCTCCTAAATTATTCATGACCTCCAAGAGGCTGTAAACGTCCTCAGCTCTCTACAGAAGCCGTAATTACAATGATAAATTTTATTTATAAAGCCGGTCCCTCC